GGTGACTATCACTTCTGCTTCAAGCCCCTCCAAATACCTCCTGAAACTGCTGCAAGCACAAGCTTGCACCAGCTTTGTGGATGGCATCATGACCTACAGACAATCTGTCCTTGATGCGCTTCTCAATGACAGGGGCCTGAGCTGTCTCCCAACAAGCGCACCACAGCAAGTTGCCAAAGTCGGCATTGTCTACCACATCCTGCTTTGCAATGTGAACCCTGACGGAACTGTCGCCCACTTTGTGGGCTCCACTTTGGATCTACAGACAGCATCATTTTGTACACACTGCAGAGTGGCGCCACAGTCATACAAGTCTGTAACGACGCGTCTTCCGGATGAAGACTTACGCCGGCGCAAGTAAGGTCCTTGTGCTATTGAGCAGAGGGCTAGCTGTTGTTAGACGGCAGAACTCAACGGCGGCAGGCTGTGGAGAAGGAGGAAGTGAGTGGAAGACAGCTGGGTGATCAGGCCAGTGTCGGGCGGCGGTCAGGTGAGGAGGTCAGTCGAGGAAGAGGGCAGGAAGATTGGGTGAGGAAAGGTTGTATTGCAAAGTGGGAGAGGCCTTGAGGGGCCTCTATATATACCTTACAGGTCTGTCTGATTGGCAGAGTGTGTCGTGTAACAGAATGACTCTGAAGTAGTGGGAATGTGAATGCGACATTGAGAATGTCTCTGAGACATTGGGAATGTCTGTGGCGCATCGAGCTGCATAAGGGAATGTCTGAGAGACATTGAGTGCGCGCAGTGCGCAGGTGGATGTCTGTGAGACATTGAGTGCATGTGGCGCGCATGTGAATGTCTGAGAGACATTGGGAATGATTGTTGGTCATAGGGGATGTCTGAGAACATTGGTGATGTGTGGGGGACATTGGTGGTGTGTGATGCGCAGTGTGGATGTCTGATGGACATTGAGTGCGGCATAAGGCATAAGGCATGGATTGGAGAGGGTACAGAGTTGGTCCTTTACAAAGTCGCTTCAGAGCAGGTTGCCTTCTACATGTAAGCTGAGCTCAATTCTCTCTTGCAGGAGGTTGCTGTGTGGGCAGGAAACCAGCTTCTCTTTGACATTCTCACCAGGGCAAAGGCACTCTCTGAGCTACCAGCTATCCTCTTGTCACCAGATAGCAATGTCAATGAGCACCTAGTCAAGAGAGCAGATCAGCTACCATTTGATCTGATTGACAAGGCTGGCCAACTGCAAATTATCAAGCTCAGGCTGCGCAAGTCTTGGTTGCAGGTGGCATGGCTTGAACATGATTTGCTGTGTGTTCCTTCAATACACAAAGGCATGCTCAAGTACAGACCCCTCTTTGCCAAGACTACATCCAGGTGCTGCACCTTCAGTCTGTTGTGTTCCGGCCAGCTGTCTATGCTGTAGCATGCTGATTGTCCCCAAGCTACAAA